CATTTTCATCCTCGAAGTTTCCTCCAAACCCTTCCCCGAAAACTCCCCTCATAACTGCAACCCTAATTACAGCCCCGTCGTTCGCGTCCTCAATTCCGACCTCCCTTTGGACGATCCGGAAAGGGAGACTTTCAAATCGGAATGTGAGGATGTTGTCGTTGCTGGATTTGTTCTGTTTTTCCCCAATTTCTCCTCCTTTTTGGCGAAGCCCGGTTTCTACGTGGAGGATATCTTCGTGAGAGAGTGTTACCGGAGGAAGGGATTGGGGAAAATGCTGCTGTCGGCGGTGGCGAATCAGGCGGTGAAAATGGATTACGGCAGAGTGGAGTGGGTGGTTCTTGATTGGAATGTGAATGCGATTCAATTTTACAAGGAAATGGGTGCTCAGATCTTGCCGGAGTGGAGAATCTGTAGACTCACCGGCGACGCCCTCCAGGTTTATGGAAACGCTAACTGAATAATTACTTAAAACTGATGGAGTTATTTTACTTTTCCCTTTTCTGGCTTCTTACACTTGTAGAAACAGAGTATGGTTTTAGTTGAAGTAATCTCTGAAACGTTTCTGCTTTATGCTGCTTATGATCATGTTCTGTATATCATCTGCGTTGGCACTGAATTCTGATGTGGGTTTCTCTCATAATCTCTGATTTTACTCCTAAATGAGCAATGAAAAGGTTCTAATCTCTGAACATAATATTTTTCCAATTTTCTGCGTGAAGACGCCATGGATGATTTGACAGTGAATACTGAAACTTAATCCCTTCATTACTGTGAATCTGATTTTGAAGTAGATTTATTTCTTCTTTCACACCAAAAAAGGGAGGCGTATGATTTGATTAAAGTTGTAGAAGAGATTAGAGAAGATAAGAGACGTGGGGGTTGGGGTTTTCTTTCTTCTAATGGTGGTATCTTCTTTTCAGACTCTTTATTCTTGTGGGGACATTGAATGATAAGAGATCAACTTCATGAACTATATCTTTTTCAAAGTGTTTCTGTGTGTGGTGAAGTGTATTTGAAGGTATCAACTTCATAAACCATATTTTTCCAAGTGTTTCTCTCTTTCGTTCTCATAAAGATTCTAATAGTCATGAATGGTTCTTGTTCTTGATGACTATTTGGGTTTAATTATAGTTTTGGTTTAATGAACTATGAAGTTTTATCTAGTCTTTTTCATCTTTTAAGAGGATTTCTGAAAGTGATGAAGTTGACTTGATTTGTATAGCTTAAGAGCGGCCGATCTAGAATTTTATGTGGTTCAAATTTTGTATAAAGATCCTTTCGAACGACTTTTAAATTTGCATACACTTGGCTCTGTCAAATTTTAAACAGTATTGTATAGGTTTCTAAACTTTTAATTTTCTTTGGACTTTAAAATAGCCTAATAGATGAGGGATGTATTAGATAAAAATTTTGAAAAATTCAGACACGTTTAGATTCTAAATGGAAATGTTTGAAGATGAAGATGTTTCTTAAAGTTTTGGAATTTATTAGACACGACTAAGTTTATCTATCGTACTCAAATAAAATAAAATAAAATAAGTTTATCTATCAAACTTATAATTTTTGTTTTGTAGGATTAATCAAGATTTAGAAAGATAATTATTTTTCCATATTTGTAAATATTTTAAAGATTAATTTAAATTATTAAAAAAATGATTTTTTCATAGAAAAATATATACACATACGATTAACAAACAAAAGCGTGCGATACATCGATCCGCCCGTGTAAATAATTAATGGATGAGATATAATTATATTTTTATACATTAGACGTAACATATATGTTTTGGGGATAGAGTAGAATACAGGATTTAATGGAAGTTTGGGACTAAAATTGAGAATTTTAAATATATAAAGGACCCAAATAAAAAGTGGACAACATTTTTTATAGAAAAATGACGTAGTTTGGTACAAGAATAATGCTGGTTGGTCTATGAGATGACTTATCCACTCCACGATTTTAGTACCCATGAGGACATTTTCTTTATATTGCAATTTTTAAAATAAGTTTATTACCTATTAAATTTTATCTTCTCTTCTAAAATAAAACTACTACTAATTCTAAAAAATCAAAATAAATTTATTATTATTAAAAATATATATTATTTTAAAAAATTGTAATTGGGTATTTTTTTTCCCTCAAATATTTGTAAATACTATAATTACTATATTAATATAATTCATTTCATTTACTTGAATGGTTAAATAAAATCTATCTTTTCTTTAAAATAGTTTTTTTTAAATAGTATGTTTAATAGTAATTATTTTACTTTATTTTATTAGAATTATTGGTTGTTTTAATAATCTAATTTTTAATAGTAATTATTTTATTTTATAGACTATAAATTTCAATATCTAATATTTATTTAGATTTGTTTAAAACATAAATAAATTGTAATATAATTTTTTTTAGTACAACAAATTAGTAGTACGAGAGTTTGAACCTTCGACATCAAAGAAGAAGTAGATGCCAATTACCGGTGAGCATAGTTCCCGTTGGCCAAAAAAAAATTCCATCTTTTCTTCTAAAATAATTTTTTTAAAATAATATATTTTTTTAATAATAATTATTTTATTTTATTAGAATTAGTAATTATTTTATTTTAGAAGATGAGATAAATTTTAATAGGTAACATTTATTTAAAGTTACTTAAAAGATAATATAACATTCCATTGAATAAAAATATATATATTATGAAGACTTGAACCCAATTTTATATTAAAGGGTAAGAGTACATCCACTACACCATAGTAAAAAATTTATACAATTTTGATATGTTGTCTCTTAAAAAGACGACATACTAGGATTTTGACTTTTAAAATATTTAGATATCGAAATATAAATTTGAAAAAAAAAATAATCAAAATCACATTTAAAACAAAAAGAAAGAAAGAAAAAAACCTAACATTTTACCAACTCCCAAGCTTCTTCTTTTTTCTTTTTCTTTTTTTTTTCCATAGATCTTATTCTCTCTTTTGGGTGGGAAGTCCTCTTAATGATGTAGTAAAAAACGAATAATAATAACAATAATCATGAGTCAAATGTTTAAGAATTTGACCAAATCATTAGCACCCTTGATCTATCGAGATGATTAACATAAATTTAAAAGTAAAAGAATAGGATAACTTTTCATTTAATTTAATAGTTATAAAAGTGATAGATTAAGTCCTCAAATGATAAACTGAATTATAAACTAATTGTGAGAAATTTATTATTGTCAATTTAAGTCGATAAGAATAATAATAGATCTTAAATGACAAAAAATATGTAATAAATTTGTTAATATGAAAAAAATGTTAATTACCATATAAAATATAATATACATTGAAAGGAAGGCAATTAAGTTATAATTTCGATTACTTTTGATTTTGATTTTGATTTTTTTTTTTTTTTGGAATGAATTACCTTTTAATTTGCTTTGACTTTTTTGGCATTGTAGGCAGTAATATTTTTGGGTAATTATTAATCAATAAAATATGTCACAATTTTCTCAGACATTTCATGGTGGAAAAATTTAGCAGCCTTTTAAAAGAAATATTGACCACCCCCACCCATTTTTTTGAAATTTTCACTTCCACTAAACAAATTTTGAGAATTTTTTTCAAAAAAGTTATTTAGTAGTTTCGTTTTCTAACATATTTATTTATAATATTTATGAATATCTTACACATTTATAAATGTAATATTATTCATAAAAATGTGAGAACCTATATCCTCCTTCAACGTAATTGTATTTTGAAAATCAAACAAATTTTTATGGATTTCGTCTGTTATAAATATTTATCTTATTCAAATATTAATAATTTTACACCCACTGAATCCATTTTCAATTATCTTATTTAAATATTGTTGAGATATTTCAAATATCAAGATTAGGTATGTTTAGCTATTATAACATTGAAGGTTTTATGTCAAACTGAGTATAGCTCAAATGGTTAAGGCATCTGATCAAGAGGTCATGAGTTTGAAACTCTGATCCCCACATGTTGTATAAAAAAAAAACATTGAAAGTTTTATGAAATTTCTTTTTTTTTTGTTCTAAATATTTTTAGTCTTAATTCTTAGAAGACTTCCATCCATATTATTGGAGTCAATTTCTCACCCACCAAGTGTCATAATCTCATAACTCAACAACAGTAAATCAACATAATGAATCACTGAGGAGAAAGACAAAAGTTTTGGACCTCTTTGAAAGCCGAGTTGAACTATCCATATTAGGTCGTAGATCTTACTGCATGTCGAGTTGACCTACACCATCTTACTTCAACTGCCTAAGTCAATAGTCTGGCCTTCAAGAGTGTCTGCAAACGTAAATTTCTAACAAAATCTCAGACAACAAGCCGCGATTCTCAAGGCTGTTAGAGAGTTGTTGAGCTCTGTCAAAAGCTCACCCTACAAAGATCCCCGCCTCATTCTCAAGTACGCGAAAGTACACTTTTTCGAGCATATATTAGATAAACACTGACTTGAACATCGAAGCACTTACTCTGTTTTGGAGGTACCTCGCTTGCTCATCAGCTCATTCGTCCGAACTTCACGCTCTAGATCATTTTCCATATCAAACACGTATGTATATATATATATTTTTTTTTTCTTTATATTTAACAGATTAATTTCCAAAATATTAAGCTTAAGTCTTTAATTAATATTAATTCTTTTGTGAAATCTCTTTAATTACTTTAGGGATCATTTGTTGGGAGATTTTCTAAATGGGAAGGGACATGAGCAAGTAAAGCCCTTTTTTATTATATAGATTTAAAAAACATTTTCCCTTATTCCATGGACAATAACTTTTTTTTCCCTCCCACTGTGGTTTGTCCATGGATTTTGTACCAGACTCTTATATCTATTCTTTTAAATAAATTATTTTTTTAATGAAATTATTTACTTTATTTTATTCAAATTAATTAATTAAAATGAGTTAAAATATTTAAATTAAATTTATAATTAATAAAACAACATTAAATTTTTACCAATAATGTACTGCATCAATTATTCTATTCTAATAAATTAATTTATTAAAGTGTATACTTAATTTTTTTAATAAAAAAATTTAATTAATCGATGCAATTAATAATATGAAAATGATTAATTTTGTTAAACATATAAAATGATAATTATTAAAATTGATTGCTAAATAAAATCAACAACGTAAATTTAGATGTATTATTTATAATATATTTATTAACGAGTGAAACTTAAATTAAAACATAATTGTTTAAAATAATAATTATGTTAACTTAATAAAGATAAATTAATTATTAGGAGTTAATTTTGATTGATTTTAAAGCTTTATACAAATATATCATTTTGCTAAACATGTACCCAATAACATTTAATATTAGTTATTCAATTGATTATTATGCTAAATTGTCAATATAGTTACATTGTTAATCGTTGATATAAAATAATTTAATTTATATTATTTGTTTTTTTATTTAAATTTGATTTGTTATAAATCAATGTCAATATAGTTACATTGTTAATCGTTGATATAAAATAATTTAATTTATATTATTTATTTTTTTGATTTAAATTTGATTTGTTATTAATCAATGTTTACAACCACATAAAATTAATATTTTAAGAGTAATCACATAAAAAAAATAAATATGTATATAATTTATTTTCAGAAATCTTAATTTCCTACGTATATACAATCAAATATAGATATCTTCGTTCCGAGACATCTTATTCTTGGATATATCTCAAGTATCAAACGGCCTCTAATATTTTCCACAAAATTTCGTGACTTTTGCGTAGACTCGTGCAATAATCATTATAGCGAGCTTTTTCCCACCCATATTCAGCCAATGATCAGCATCCACGTTGGCCTAGTGGGAGAGGTTCGATTTATTATTTTAATTATTATTAAGTAATGTAATTTAGTATTTAGTTACGAAATAACAAACTTTGGCATACATCATGAATTACGTGTAATAGAGCTTCTGGAAGAGGCTCATAAATTTCGTTATATTTCAACATTTTATTCCTGCAGAATGTTCTTCTCAGAAAAGCTCATATAACTATTAAATAGATTAAAATACTATTTTAATATATATGTACTTTCAAAATATTAATTTTGGTATGTATATTTTTAGAAAGGAATTATTTTGGTTATTTAATTTCATTTTTAATCTTATTTTTCTATAAAAATTTGAATATGATACTATACTTAATATATTTATTAAAATGTTTCATTACTTGGTACTAAAGGGTTTTCGATTATTAGTAGAATTTGTGATAGAATTTTGCAAATAGAAATTAAAATGATCACTTTTTAAAAGTAAAKGGACAAATATGAACATTTTGAAAGTCTGTGAACTAAAATAAATAAAGTTAAAGGTATAGGTATCAAAATGAACATTTTTAAAATATATCGACTAAAATGAATAAGGCTGAAAATACATGGATCGAAATACTGTTTCGGTCACCATACATTTTAACTTTGATTCATTTTGAACACGATGCCTATTTAGTTCTTAAACTTTAAAAAATTTCAACTAGAACATTGGTGCGACATATTGGCTTTGATTCATTTGTCATAAACATTATTGCTATAACACTGGTGCGACATATTGGTTACATAAATTTTGGTTGAAATAATTTAAAATCGGTTTGATAATAAGTTTGTTTTTAATTATTTGTTTTTTAAAATTAAGCTTTGAAACAATACTTCTACTCTTTATTATTTTGTTTTGCATTTATTTTTTAATTAAAGTTTTCAAAATTTAAGTAGAAATTTGAAAACTTAACAAAAGTAGTTTAATTTTTTTTTTAATTTCGCAAACGAAACAATTGTCTGTACAAAAAAAAAAAAGGTAAAGAAAGCAGCATACTTTTTAGAAAAGAAAACCAAAAGCGCAATGGCAAACTAATAAATTTAATTTGTGTAAATATATATTATTAAGTTAGATTAAATAGTTAGTTCAACTTTTATGTTGGTGTCAAATAGATTATAAAATATCTAGTAGGTTAATGAATGGTCAATTTTGTATCTAACAAATTCGGGATATTTTTGACATTTTAAAATAAACATAAAATAGAGTCATAAACTTTTAATTTTGCGTCTAATAAATTTTCGAAATTAAAAAAATATTGACCAGTTAAGGATCTATTAGATACAAAATTGGTGGTTCAAAAGTTTATTAGACATAACGTTGAAAGTTTAGAGGTCTATTAGACACTTTTTAAAATTCAAGGAACTATTAACAACAAAATTGAAATTTAGAGAATTTATGAGACACCACTTGAAAGTTTAAGGTGTGTTTAGTCAGTGATTTGAAAACAAAAATATGAAAACAAGGATTCAACGAAAAACAAAGTTGTATTTCATTTAAGTATTTTCAAATATGTGTTTGGTAGCAAATTTGAAAATGAATCTACATTTTAAAATTTGTACAAAGGTATTATTTGTTAGCCAGTGATAGTTAAGTTTAATCTAACGTAATATTAATCCTTTATTAACATATATTATAAAAATTATAAAAATATTAGTCCTATTCAACAATTTTTTCTTTATTAAAATAGTCGACAAAATTTTAATACTCATGAGTTAGAATCCTCTAATCATCATTATTTGCACAAAAATAATCCAAACGGATTATAACATTTAAAAGGCAATAAGTTTCCACGTATTGTTGTATTAAAAATAATAATAATAATTATTTGAAATTATTGTCCCTATTTCTTCTCGATTTATTTTATTTCTTCATATTTTAAAATTTAAAGTATCCCAAAGAGTGGGATGTTTTAAGTCAATACATTATGCAAACAAAAAACACAGTACAAAATTAATCCTCTTATGTCTTCTTACGACAATATATTAATTAAAAATAATATCAATAATTCATAAAAAGAAATTATTAAAAAAAAAAGTTCCTAAACGAACCGCCGTTGGCAAACAAAACCCACAAGGCCCGTGTGGAAATGCGTTGTAGAAAATTCTCGTACGAATTTCTCTCTCTCTCTCTAGAACCGTTTCTAAAATTACGCGTTCTGATCTCGTCGTCTTCCGATTTCGTCTTCTCCGATTGACAGTGACTTCACTGCAAATCTTCAATCTCTGTTCTCGACGGAACCCTAGAATTTGATTACTCCAACACCCACATTTCCCCAATTTCAAACCCCTAGATTTCATCGGCGGCGGCGGCGGCGCGGCCATGACGCCGTTTCTCTGCCCCGATCTCACTCCGATTCCATGATTCTTCGCCCCATTTTTCTATCCTCTTTGATATCTTCTCGAGTTCCTTATGTTTTCTGATTTCGATTTTAGGGTTTCCCCACTCCGATGTGCAGGTCTAAGAAAAGCACCGACGTGATTGATCCCCGGAGCCCTAGATCCTCTCGCAGTCGCAATCAACGAGCCTCCAAATCCTTCGCTTCCTCTTCCTATGTCGATCCTTCCAGTTCTTTGAATTTCACGAGCTACAATATCACCAACACTGATAATACCAAATCCAGCACTAAGAGCTCCTCGAAATCCTCGGTTTCTAGCCGGGCTTCGCTCACCAGTTTGAAGGATTCTCTCCCGGATAATCCTCTGATTTACGAGTTCTCTGAAATTCGTGCTGCTGCCAACAATTTCCTCTCTAAGCCCTTCTCTTCGTCGTCTTCGTCGTCTTCGTGGCGCTGCTCGATTAGGGGAAAAGACGTCGTCGTCTTCCAGCGGAAATTGCTTCGCGCGATTGAGCTGCCGGAGTTGAAGCGCCAGTTGTCCGTTGTCTGCCGGAGCCACCATAACAGCCTGGTCAAGCTCCTCGGTGCTTCAATTTC